TGTGTGTGTACCTGTGTTCTCCAGCTCTCGGCCTCGGCTGTCTGAACAGAAGCAGTACGAGGAAACCGTTGGGAAAATCTTCCTGAAACTACTGAATGTCTCAAAGGCTTCTGGGAACCTGAAACAATAACCACACATAAAAATACACACTGAAATACTGCACACAGACAGCGAAGTAAACATGGATACACACAAATATACATAGACAGAGAAATACAGAAACACAAATATAAACACATAAATACTAAAATATACATGGAAATACTCCTCAGACCAAAGGTTATACATGACAGGTGAGTTTACCTGTTGAAGGCATGCAGCAGGTCCAGCTCACTTCTGTCTGTCATGTTAATGAATTTACACTGAACGGGGAGGAAGCTGCCGTCTGCTGCACACTGAGGGGGCGAAGGAGACCCAGAGCCGTGGAGCAGACGCCTCGACCTCACCTCACAGCTGCCAGGACCTGCAAGTAAAAGGTCAACAGATCTCATGTGGTCACACGAAGCTGACCTAGACAAGGGTGGAGAGAACATTCACTGGTTTGCACTGAACTACCAATCAGAGGTGATGCTGCTGCCCAAACACCTGCCTACACCCAGAGCCAGGTGGATGACACCACAGCTCCAAAGCTTGTTTCACTCTAGTGAAGTGCAGTGTTTCAATACTTTGTGTCGGAGCTATCAAATGAAAAAACCATGTAGCTGACGGTGTTTGAAGCCTCAGACTTCGTCAGCTTCAGAAGAGAGTCTGAAGGTTTGACAGCTAAACCAGAGACAAAGTATTTAGAGAATCACTGGGAAACATAGTGATGCACTAGAAAAACAAGACATCTCCCCTGGCACCAAGTAATAATGTTATAAAAGTCACAGCACTGATTAACAAGCATCCTTCTGCAATTACATTAACTCGTATGAAATGTTACGTAAATATCAACTGTTAATGAGTCCACAGTGACACTAGACCTGATTTATACCAATGAAGTACATTCACATTAATGGTATTTTATATCTAGGTTTTCTTTCAGCAACATATGCATTATT